AAAGAGTTTGGAATTTGGACGCTGCCGTGGCTGAAGCCAAGTTTCTAGTGATTGTGCTAAATCATTTGCTCATTGGGCTGCAGGTAATCCAAAATGCGAGGCTAAGGGGAGGCGATGACAAGAAGAAATCACAAGGTGACTTTAGCTGCACACTTATGCTCTCTTCTTGAACATAATTCATACAAGTCCTAGATACTGCAACCTCACCTACTTGTGTAAAGGAGAATGCTGGCTGTGATTAGTTCCGCAGCTGAACCCAAATGATATTAATTACTCCCTCTGTGAAGGAATAGAAGACCGTTCAGATCACTAAAGTAGTGACCAAAACGCTCTTATATTTCTTTACGGTGGGAGTACTGATAAGAACCGAATCATTAATTGGTGCTAACATTATTCTGATAGCTAGGACCATGCAAACACAACATATGCATCAGATGCAGGTATGGTATCTTTGGTACATGGGATCATCAAGCCTTTTCCTTTTGTCCCGCAGTGAGGAAGAAGAGCAAGAGAAGACTGTTCAGCCTCGGCAAGGCCAAGAAACTGCAGAAGGGTTTCAGGGCTGTCATTGACGGGATCAAGCGGCTCCGGCTGAGAATCAGAGTGAAAGCTCTGGACCGGTTCAGGCGGTGCTTCGTCGTGCCCAAGCTCGCTACGAAGAAGCATAATTACCTCAGACTAGGAGCATGAACAAAGACCCCATTCTGATGTCAGGACACACCCTCAAGCATGGGCAATCAGATAAGGAGGCGGTAATCCGGTATATGAATTTTCTTCAGGACAAGAGCTTTTTTGCAGGTTGTTTTGGTGCATGTACTTACATGCTAAAAGCTAGACATGACTTGGCTGTATTTCTAGGAGGATCTAGAAGTTCATGTAACCTACTGACCAGAGAATGGACACTTGGATAATTATAAAGATCGATGCCGCACAAGGGATTCATGCTCTTTTCATGTACCCATTAACAAAACAGAGATGGCCAAATCAATCTTCTGTCACACAGCAAGAGGATATACAAAGCTAAATGGGCATAATACTTTCTTCTACACATAAAAGATGTGCACCTAAGAGCATCACTACTCGAACACCCCAAAAGAAAAAACTTAACTCACAAAAACCATTTATTGCTTCATCCGAACCATTTATTGTGTTTGGATTCTAAAACTTGAAAACAATAAGTTTAAAGTGATGTTGAAATGTTTGCATTGTTCAAATCAATGTGTGAATTAATATGTTGCCAAAAAGTAGTTGAATGGATTTGAAGTTTGCTAAAGGAAGTGAGATATAGCGGAGGAAACTTTAGGGAATTAAGTTTTGGGGATCGGTATGAATGCAGCCTAAAAAAACAGTTTTTTTTGGGGGGAGTTAAGTTTTGGGGTTGGCTTTTTACGAGTTAAGTTTTGAGCTTCAACTAGAGATGCCCTAACTAATACTCTTAACACCCTTTCAAACTCAAAATGGATCTAAAAATATTGAATTTGAGAACACAAAGTCTATATTGTTCTATAGTCTCAGCCTTGATGAAGAAATCTGCTTGAATCTTTGGCGGGACATATTGGAGACAAATAGTTGGCTGTTGGTAATGGGAGCACATCAACCATGAATCCACGCCAATATGCTTGATCAGCTTATGCTTATATGGATCATAGACAATATGAACAACATCAACACTATCACATAGAAGCAAGGTGGGTGCACCACATGACACCAAGATCAGCCAGGAGCCGTTGAAGCCATACACACTATCATAGACATGACCGTGTTAGTTAGCTCTAAAATTCCATTGCTAGCAGGTAATCAAGGCGATTCAGTTGGGTGTCGGTGACCGCAGGTCTCTTCGTAGTTGGTGAAAGTGCTCCATTGCCCTCTAGTGGATTCTTGGTGATATATGATAACTTGATTAAAGGGACTAAAGTTTGTTCAAGTATATTTCAAAACAAGTCTCAAAAGATGCAAGTTGGAAAGACCGTTGTTGACCAAATGTTGGCAAGGCTAAGGACATCTATTTATAGCTTTTAGTGATTAAAGATTACGTTGAGTCCATATGTGTGCTCAAGTTTGTGAGGTGATACTTTTCTTTCAAAGTGCCTAGAGATCAAACCCCAAAATCACTCAAACCTTTCCGCACATTTAAATTTTACATTGTTTGGAGCCACCGACTCAAATCCACTTGGAGCCCTTGACTCCATTCCAGAGAGATAGCCGTGGTGGGCATGCCTTAAAAACGATCTCGCTAACGCCTAAGTGTTGGGCGAGATCGTTTTTAAGGCAACTGGTATCTCCTTGCTCATGTCTTCTGCTACGGTTGTCGAGCTTGCAGGGCGTGCCCTTCAACAAGCAGAGCTTCTTGGTTTTCCTTGCATTCTGTTTGCTTGTTGTATGGTGGTGTAATTGTGTTCTATATACCCATGTATCTTTTAGCCATTGGTCTTTCTTCCTGTTTCAGTTAGGTGATGATGTTGGCTGTAATCCTGACCGGTTGATGACATCGTTAATTCAAAGCCGTCTCGTCTCTATCCTTTTCTCTAAGAAAATCCATTTCATTGGAATAGTTGTATGATAAGTTGGTGGTTGACAATATAATCATATTTACCAACAAACTAGCATAAACCCTATTGGAGATGCTCTAAGCGAGGGAGGAACGGCTTAAAAATTGCCTTAGTTAAGGTCAAACGACTTCGACCAGACGCAAACGGAACGGAATTTCACTCAGTTCTTGAACTGCATCCAAAAGTAGTGAAATTAAACAACGTCCGAGAATTCGACTAGTATGTAATATCACTACTTTGCCATGCTTAAG